GGCTGTGCCAAGGAAACAGGGTGTGCCCTGCAGCAAAGAGCCCAAAGGTCTCGGACTGAAGAGCTGATAAAAACATATCCAATATTTCCCTGACCCTGAGGCTCTTTCCAGGTGGCTCCGGGTGCCCTCAGGGGGAAGGGTCGGTTCCTTTGGCTCTGAGGAACAAGGGCTGCTCAGGAAGGTCTCAGCAATACCCTGAGCTCTGCTCTGGGACACAATTGTGCCAAAATAAGGACAGTTTAGAGCACCAGGACAACGTGGCATTGCCGGGGCAGCCGCCCTGGCCCAGCCCAGCACAAACTGTGGGTTTTGCAGAGCTTCTGAGCTCTGTTTGTGCCCTTCCACTCTTGGACACTTTTAATTAAAGAGCAGGACGGAACAGCCTCCGATGGTCTCCCGATGTGCTTTCAGGGCCGAGCCGCTCCCTTTGGACAAGCTGCCCTTGTATTTTTATCGCCGGCGCCTCCAGGGCTCCTGCAGAGCCAGAGATACCGCGGGAGCCCCGCCCTGGAGCCCGGGCGGGTATTTTGGGGTGCGGGCACAGCCCTGGCAGGGTCACCCTGCAATTGGGGCTGCGGGGCTGCGCCAGCTCCCAAAATTAACCCGGGGACCCCAGAATTAGCCGGGGGACCGCCCTCCCCCCGGGGCGGGGTGGGCACGGTGGCCCCGCAGTGCGGGAGGTCCCGACTCCCCCCCCCCGGGTGTATTTTGGGGACAATTCCTACGTTTTCCTCAGCCAGTGCCTTCCTGAGCTTTGCGGGTTGTTCTGGGGCAAAATCCTCCCCGAACGGCTAAATCCCAGCGCGGCCCGGTGGGTTATTACCGAGGGGCGTGGGAGGGAAAGGGGGATTTGTTGGTTTTTTTCCCGATTTGGCAACTTTGGGGCTCGGCGCGGGGGCGGGCGGGCGGCGGGACCTGCGCGGCGCCTCCTCCCCCCTCCCCTCGGGAAAGGGGCGTGGTCAGGAATGGTCCCGCCCCTCCGCGGCGCCCAGGCGGCCTCGCCATTGGCTGCGCGGGCGGTGACGTCAGCGCACTGCGGCGGCTCCGCGCGGCCCCGGTGGCGTCGCCTTAAAGGGGCCGCGCTCGCGGCGGCCGCGGCACCGGCCCCGCCACCGGCTCGGACACCGGCTCGGGCTCCGGCACCGGCGGCGCTCCCGGCACGGCCCCGCCCGGTAAGGACGCGTCCGGCGGCCGCCGCAGGGAGGTGTCGGTCCCGGGGGTGCGGAGCCGCTGGGACCCCGCGGGGAGCGGGGCGGGTGGTGCCGGTACCGGAGGTTCTGATCCGCCGCGGCTGCAGCCGGTACCGGGGATGCTGATCCCGTAGGCCCCTGCCGGGACCGGGGCGGCTTCTGCCGGGAGCGGGGATGCCAAT